TTTAGCTTTTAAAATAAGATTATAAATAGCTTTTTTCCCCCTGAAATTATTCTTATACCACCATCTTTGCTGTTGCAGGCTTCTCCATCTTATAATCTTATGCCTGCATCCAAAGTTTGTCTTTCAGTAATGTCTCCTTTTCCCTTTGCACAGGGACTTTACATGCTTTGTTTCTCAATATGTATAATCTGCACAGAACCCCTGGATGAGCTTAGGTTTTGGCAGATTTATAGGACTCTGCTTTCTGCACTCTGTATTAGCTTTTCCTTCTGAAAACAAAAACAAAGACTTTGTTTTCCAAAGGTTTTTTCGAGCTAAGTCACTGTGGTGCACGTCAGCATATGTGTACATCTAACATCTAGCCTTACCCCTCCCATGCTGCATGTATTAAGCCTAACCTGTGTCTGTCTTTGATGCCCGCCTTTCTAACTGGCTGCAGCTACGCTTCCGCGGAAAGAGAGTGCACTCAAACAGGAAACAGAAAGTAAGTACGACATTTGAAATGGAGCTGTTCCACTGTCAATTTTCAACTGTGCTTCTGATCACTACATGGCTGTACTAAAATGAATCCTCTGATCAAACCCCTTTGCTGTTCCAATACAAGCCATTACCTCACCCTGTACCTGGTTGGTTGGGCTAAATCATGACAGTACATTACCACACATTCTGTAACAAATGCCAAAAATCTAACCATTTAATTTGATGTTAAGTTGGATTCCTTCACTGTAGAATTTTTGGAAAACTGACTTGTATTAGCCTTCCCACAAAACATAGCCATTAACTCATACCATATTTGTATACATTAGGCCTACATGGCAGCTCTGGGAAGCTGACAGGCTCTACTTCAAGCCTGAATAAGCTCACAGTGCAGGGCTCCAACAGCCGGCGTTCCCAGTCTTCATCACTACTGGACATGGGCAACATGTCCGCTTCTGACCTCGATGTGGCCGACAGGACCAAGTTCGACAAGGTAACACTACCAGAAATTTAAGTGGAGTGGAAATAAAGCAACATGTGTGTACATCCTGAGAAATTACATTTATTTATTTATTTTTGTCTCTGCAGATATTTGAGCAGGTCCTCAGTGAGCTGGAGCCTTTGTGTCTTGCAGAACAAGACTTCATCAGCAAGTTTTTCAAGCTGCAGCAGCATTTGACAGTTGCACCCCCTCTCGCACAGGTAATTTTTTGATCACATACTGGAAATGGCTGTAACAGAAAGATCAAATGTCATCTAAATGAATTATAATACTTCACAACAATAGCAGTGCTTGTACTTGTGTGGTAGCATCTGAAACTGGAGCATTTGTTTCTCCTGAAAGCGTAGAATAAAACAGTGATGACAGATGTTAGCGTGTTATCAGATCCAGTGTCATTCATATATGCATCCACAGATGTTTGTTTAGGTTTGTCATGTTTGATCTCTTTTGTCCTGTCAGCCAGAGGCGGAGGATTTCGATGGAAGCTTGCCATCTAAAAAGCCTCCCCAGGCAGAACACAAACACTCCTTGTCATCAGAGTGAGTTCTTGCAGATCATTGCTAATATTTCTGATGTAATTTTTTATTTTTTTTAAATGCAATTGTTCGCTTCTTTTTTCTATTTCCAGGAAAGATATAGTGCGGCTGATGATGAATAAAATCTTCCAGAGCATCGAGACAGAGCTCAACAGCCTCATCGCTTTGGGCGACAAGATTGACAGCTTCCACTCTCTGTACATGCTGGTGAAGATGAGTCACCATGTGTGGACAGCTGAGAACGTTGACCCGGCCTCTTATCTCAGCACAACTTTGGGAAATGTGCTGGTGACTGTCAAGAGAAACTTTGACAAATGCATTGTGAGTAGTGCCTTTTTTGTTGTTGTTGTTGACATCACTAAATTCAAGTCTGGTTAAGGAATATTATGTAGGTTTATTGAAGGCTGCCACGCTATGTGTCTGTCTAATTTCTTAACTGCCTATCCAACTCCAGACCCACAAGCAACTCGGGGTCATGTGGAGGGGGGGGGGGTACACTCTGGACACTCGCCAGTCCATCGAAGAGACAGAAACACGCTCTGACATCCACACTTCCAGCCAATTTAGAATCACCACTTAACAAACACATCTTTGGCTTGTAGGAAGAAGTGAAAGTAGGTGAAGGAAAATCAAAAAGGCTGAGGGATAACATGCAAACTCCACAAAATAGTATAAAAGAGGGACAAAGTTTCTGGGTCTGAAAGGTAAGGGCAACACAGACGTGCCTTAAACCTGGAGTCACTAAAGTGGTAGAAAGCCTTGCAGCTGGGTGACTGTGGGTCAGGAATGGTTGTGCAGCACGGCTACTCATGCCTGGATATTGCATTCAGTGTTGTGACACCAAACACGTGAGTTTACAATGAAGTCATAAAGGCAAAGTGTAGTTTTCTGATGCTGAGGAATTTATTTATAGCGATCTACTCCTCAAAAATCATAACAGTAGTATCATTTTGTGAAAAGGCCAAGCAAAATTTTACTCAGAATTCATTTTCTGTGATAATCCAGGGCCTGTGGGAAATTACTAGTGTTGTTGTTTATTTGTTTGTTTTCAGTCAAAGGAGTCATTGCTGGGCTGAATTTGGGAATAAATTTTAACTTTCTTTCTTTTCTTTTTTTACAGTCTAATCAGATCCGACAAATGGAGGAATTTAAGATATCCAAGAAGAGCAAAGTTGGTATCCTGCCTTTTGTCACTGGGTTTGAGGAATTCGCTGAACTGGCTGAAACCATATTTCGCAATGCAGAGCGTCGAGGAGACCTGGACAAAGCTTACGTTAAGCTTATCAGGGCCGTCTTCATGAACGGTGAGACCACTGATCATTAAGCAAGTTTTTATTTATTGGAAAAGGATCATGTGAAGTTGATGTGGTGTCCTGGAATTTCTGACTTGTTTATTGTCTTCTCAGTGGAGAAGGTTGCCAATGAAAGCCAGAAAACACCACGAGATGTCGTGATGATGGAGAATTTCCACCACATCTTTTCTACGCTGTCACGTCTAAAGATTTCCTGCCTGGATGCAGAGAGACGAGAGGCCAAGCACAAATACACAGACCATCTACAGTCTTACGTAATCAATTCTCTGGGCCAGCCTCTAGAAAAACTGAATGTGAGAAGAGTTAAAGTGACCACAAAATTCAGTCATCTTTATTAGCCTGAGTTGGAGTATTACAAATATAAGCAGAGTTTTATAACAGGCAAACTGTCATCTCGCTTGCAGCATTTCTTTGAAGGAGTTGAAGCACGTGTAGCCCAGGGTGTTCGTGAGGAGGAGGTGAGCTATCAGCTGGCCTTCAACAAGCAAGAGCTGCGAAAAGTAATCAAAGAGTATCCTGGTAAAGAGGTGAAAAAGGGACTCGACAATCTTTATAAGAAGGTGGACAAACACCTGTGTGAAGAAGAAAGTCTGCTGCAGGTGAGAAAAAAACAGTTTAGGGGATTAAAATCATTGCATGCCTCTTCCTGCCTCTGAACTGTTGCACTTCCTGTCTATTCCTCTAGGTGGTGTGGCACTCCATGCAAGACGAGTTCATCCGTCAGTACAAGCACTTTGAAGATCTCATAGGCAGGTGCTACCCTGGCTCTGGGATCACTATGGAGTTTACAATCCAGGACATGCTGGAGTACTTCTCCAGCATTGCTCAGTCTCATTAATCTTGCTGCTATGCACCTTTCCTTAATGATTCATTACTGGCTCACACTGGCTGAAGATACACTAGCAATTTACAAACTACCATCTAATGCTTTTTGAATTAAGAACATTTCCTCTTTGTGTTTTTATTTGAATGAAAGGGAATTTGTACATAAGACAGTGCTAGGGATATTGCTGCATTTTTTTGTGTGTGTGTTTCGTTGAGATTTAACAACAGCTCTCTAAATACTTCTTGTTTGTCATATTTTTATTATTTTTTGATGCCATATGTACATAATAAATTAGCATCTGCACAACCCCTCCTAGTATTTGTCGCACATTTCTGTTTGTTTTACCGTTAAGTCAGGGGAGTGTCCTTGCTCTCGATACTGGATGAGAGCAGGGATAGGACCAGTGGTGGAGCGTAACTTTACTGAAGTACAATTTTAATATACTTTGTTAAAGTATATCTGTGTTATTTTGCTTTTTCTTTACAGTTGAATGCAAACATTGCATTTTGTACTGCGCACATTTACTTTAAAGGTTATACATCTCCAGCTGCATCAATAAAGTGATGTATACATACACTTGGTAGTGACTACTTTTGCTTTAGGTAATTTATTTTTTTTATGCTAAAACTTTTATACTGTTAGGCTACTTGGTTATGATAACTACAGTGTGTTTAGGAAAAACAACCCATCAATGGTAATAGTCACCCTCCTACTGAATACTCTAGTTAACACAGTATTAATTTAAGAAAATTTTTTATTGGTAATTTCAGTATTTATTTCCAATTTTTTGGTCAAATAAACTATTCATATTACAAAGCTATTAAATAAACCTTTGTGAGCCAAAAAAACCCCCATTAGAAATATAGTATAGTAACAAGGTTAAAATTAGATTAACCAAGTTGAACAAGTTAACAGGGCTAAACTGATATTTTACTTTTAATTGAAGATCCTGACATAAATGTGGCAAATAATACTCAGGACCACAGAAATGTTGTTTCTCAGTTTTATCAGAAAAAGATGCAAGCTGTGTGTTTTGTAAACCTCTGTGAAAGTCCAGGATAAATATAACTAAAAGAAGGAAATTACAGAAAAAACAAAAAGGTCGGCTGGGCCTATTAAACGTTTGTGCCCGACGGTCTGTGACTGTTTTTTTTCAATGGTTTTCCAGTTTTTCTCTTCAGATGTTCTGATTTCCTGTTGGGTCCTCCCCTGCTTGATATTAGTCCCCCCTTCCCCGATCGAAAATATCTGGAAACGCCCTTGCGTTAATATTTACTGTTTGGGCTAAATAACTTTGTCGACACCACCCGTCCGCTTTCAGAACGGGCAGCACCGGTGCACAAAACACGCAGCTCCAAATACTTCCCCTAGACTCTTACTTCCATGGTGACGAATCCAAACCGGAGACCATCGGCGCTCTTTTCAAACCACTTTACCGCGGAAACGTGTCAACTCAGAATTGAAGATTGTCTAACACTACCAGAAAACATATATGATACGTTATAATGTGGCTCGTGCAAGTCATTGGTCAAAGGAAATGGAAACATACTGTCGGTGATGTAGAATTACGCTGGACGGGCTAACGTTAGCCGCTAGGAAAGCACTTCCAGGGTAAGACAAGCTGTGATCGTTCTGGGATTTAACGCTAGCTCGTTAGTCGTCAAGCTTTGCTAACTAACAGGCTACTGCAGGCGACAAAACGACAACAAAAAGTTACCTCAGTGTTAATAAACGCATAAGGCTAATGTCTCTGATGAGCTAACATGCTTAATGTTAAACTTGCTGCTTAACGTTAGCAAACATTAAAAAGACTTGCTAACTTCTTTTAGCCATTCTATAAACTCAACACAGTCAATTATGAATAATAAACATTTTAGTAAATATCTTATGAATTTGTTTTCTTGGCTGTTCTTGCCACAGGCTAAATGTCAAAGTTGGAGTGGTCTAACTTGATTTGATACTTTATTTGGAGAGGAAACCTGGTTAAATGTGATCAGTGATAAATAAACCTGTCTTAACTCAGATGTGTTACAGCAAAATGTCTGGTCATGTTAAAATCATCTGGCACATTCAAAAAAATGCATTAGGTTAAGTTACTTATTGTTTAACGCAATAATGTTACCTCCAAAGTAGCTGGCAAACTAGAAGACAGTGATTGTATTTTTATGTTTAGCAGAAAAATTCTAAAATATTAACTTATGTATTTTTTTTTCATAGGTAGGTAATGTCAGTTCCATGCAGGGCCCGTTTTGAAGCACAAAAGTGTCTGGAACTTGAAGTTCCTAAACACATTTTGGGAATAAACATGACCCATTCTATGAGAATGTTTCTTTGATGAGTAACATTAAACCTATTGGAGGGGCAAACGTGTTTTAAATCTTTTGGGGCCTGTGTCCCCTGCGTATCCCCTGAAATTTACATTCATTTTTAGAACAGCAACAAACAGATGTGAGACAATACTGACATCCTTTTAACGTCATCTTATTTGCGATTAGGCTGATAGCAGTCACCAAGGTCAATATCGGCTCCCAACCATGACCAGCAATGCAGAAAGGAAGTTTGTTAATTTGCGAAAACGTCTGGACCAGCTGGGCTACCGGCAACCGCTGGGAATCGAGTCACTGCCACTTGTGGAGAAACTCTTCAGGTGTGAAACCTCTGAACCATGTACCCTCATTCTCTTAATATCACCATGTGGTCCAGTGTAGTTCAGCCATGTCTTTCTTTGTGTTACAGTGACTTGGTCCACACAACTGAAAGCCTGCGCAATGCCAAACTGTCAGCAGGGAAGTCTGACAAAGAAAACCGAAACGTAGACTCTCTTCTGGAGCCATACAGGACAGAGAATGCCCGGTTGGTCAGGGAAAACAATGAGCTACACCTTAAGCTTCTAAAATTGAAGGACGAGAAAGAGCGTGTCATTAGTGGTAATAACTGCGTTATAATAAGCAAGCACTGGCTCTTCAGCACAGTTTGAATCATTTTCCTCATATTCATCACCTGCATACACAACAGACAACATTTTTTTTCCTGTCTGGCTCCAGAGCTCAAAACCAACATCAGAAAACTGGACCATGAGACGACTGATCTGAAGTTTTTAAATAATCAGTATGTGCACAAGGTTCGCTGCCTGGAGAAGGATAGCAAGGCTAAATCTGAACGCATTCAGCAGCTTCAGGAGAAGAACCTGCAAGCTGTTGTTCAGACACCAGGTACTGACAGGGGAGGGGTAAGGCCTAAACTCTTAGATAGTGGACTTAAAATGATATTCCATCTAGGTATATTTAATCTTGACCCCTCTCGTGCTTTTAACAGGTGGAAAAAAACGCAGTATTCCTTTCAGACGGCAGAGAATGCAGATTGACGAACTAGTACCTCCGTCTTCAACATCAGCTTATCCTGTGCAGCAACCTGATGATCCGTACATAGCTGATCTACTGCAGCTGGCAGATGGAAGGTTTGTTTTCTTTTGTGACTGAAAGTTGTTGTAGTTGCTTAATTAAATTGTTGATTATTAATGTTTGTATCTGCATTTATTCTGTCTGACTCGCTCCAATTTTTGTGTAGAATTCAGGAGTTGCAGGAAGGTGTTGTCAAATTGAAACTAGACCTTGGAAATGCTCAAGAAGTTGCAAAACATTTAAATACTCAGGTACGTTAAGTGGGTGCTTGTTACGTTGTGAATATTTTAAGTTGTCATAGAGGTAATCAGCTCTATTTTTTAAAACGCACTTCTGTTAGGTGGAGGAGAGGGACAAAGAGATTGACCGCCTGAATGGCGCACTTCATGGCGGCCGACCTCATGACATAATTTCTCTTGAGGCTCAGAACATCAGCAACGAAAAACTAATCGCCCATCTTAACCTGCAGGCAAGCTCTACAGTCACAGCATAAAAGTGGAGTAAAGAAATTTGGTTTGAATGGTTGCTGGTAGTTTAGTACAATCTCTTGATATGTTTGTGTGCAGATTGATTACTTACAGGAGACCAACAGGACGCTGGAGCAGAAAATAGACGGACTGCAGCAGAAAAAAAAGGACGCCTCCACCGAAGTAGCCAATCTGTCTTTAAAGAACCTGGAACTGTGTGAAGAGCTGACGCACATCGACGACCTCGCAAAGCGAATGGAGATGGACAAAGAGCGCGTGCTGGAAACTGCTGACATGGAGCTACAAGAAACTAAAGTAAGCAATGTGATGATCCTGGAGTTCTTGGCTTAAAAGCATTCAGTGTAATTCATCCATTAAGAATGGACTTCAAACTGTTTTCTCAACAGAAAGAAATTCAAAGGCAGCAGAAAATGATCGAAGATCTGGAGGCTATTATCACAAAGACAAGAAGGGTAAGTAGTAGTATACACTGTTCTAACTCTAGATTTCCTACTTTACAGTATAATATACCTTTTGCTTAAACTTCTATTACTTATTTACTTCAGGAGCAATCTGAAAGTGACTTTGAAAAAGATCGTCTGAGAGATCAGCTGGTGGAGCTCAAAGAGCAGAATGAGAAGATGGAGGGACTCGTGAATTTCTTGGAGGATGAGAAAAACAGGCTTCAGGACAAAGTAGAGAAAATGATGGCAGCTGGTGAGCAGCAGTGGAAATACCTCAGCAGCTATATATGCATTGCAGTGTTTATATACGCACTTGATGTTATATCCTAGACAAAGAGCTGGTGCTGGAGTTGGAGGCCATGCGTACTAAATATGGCGTTTGTGGAAGGGAACGCTCTCCGTCTCGTCTCGATGCATTTGTCAAGAGTCTAGAGGAGGAGAGGGATTACTATCGCAAAGAATCTGAGCGTTACAAAAGAGCCAGAGGAGCTGGCGGTGTTGACATAAGCCCTAGCCGTAGCCCAAGCAGGGGCAGGAGTCCTGGGTCCAAAGTAGTCAGGGTAAGAGTCAATAAAAAAGAAACTAGCAAATTTCTAATTGAGGTAGTTTCATGTTAAACTGATACTAAAGAACAATGACTTCAAATTTTCAGGGAGGTGCTGCAGAAGCGGAGCTGCTTCGTGTAATTCAGGAAAGAGATGAGCTGAAGGTTGCTCTCTTGGATTTTGAGAAGCACATGGAGGACATTCAAAATAATATAAAGGCCCTGAGCAATGAGAGGGATCATTTCAAAACCCTCTTTAAACAAGTAAGTTTTAGATGCTTTACATTTGCACCAATAACACATTTGAATAAATCTTTTTGTTTTTACATGATATGATTCTGTTTCATTCAGACTCAGGATGAGCTGAAGCTTACCCGCAGAGTAGATACGTCGAGTAATGTTGTGAAACTACAGGAGGAGATCAAACGAGCAGAAGCAAAGCTCGAGCAGATGACGACTGAAAGAGACACACTGATGGAGAGGTTAAAGGTCAGTGCAAGAATACAGCCTTTAAATCTGCACGTGATTCTGATGCGCCGTTACAGCTCTGCAGACACATGCTGTGCACATGTATCTGCAGGTTGCACAGACTTCAGCTCTAACAGACAGACAAGGGGAAGAGAGGAAGATTCTTAACCTGGAGAATGCTGTAAAGAGTGTGAGTTGGGATATTTCATTTAATAGGTTTAGTTATTTGAACCTTCCAGCACTTGAATTCTCACTATACTGTGATATTATGTAATGTTCATGTATATTTTTGGAGTGCAGCTGGAACGGGAGAGACTGGATCTCCAATCACAAGTATCCCTGCTAAAGGAGAGCAAGGAGGCTGCAGAGGAGGAGCTGAAGGTTCAGTCTGCTGCTATGGTCCACAATGGAGAGGAGGTCGCCCAGCAGAGGGTTGAGTCTAATGCTCTGAGGTTTGAATTGCTGGTTATATCAGCGGTGTTCACTTCCACTTGAGGATCTTTATAATGTAACCAACTAATGGTGCCATAGTTCAGTTCTGTAAAATGCTTTATAATATTGTATCACAAATTTATCACATTATATATGTGGTGCAGTGGAACAGTTTCTCGACACTTCACAAAACAAAAAGTTACCCTATTTAAATTTGACCCTGGAGGATACAATTGTGTGTAAATCTGTGTCTAACCCTGTGAATATCTAATGTCTTTAAACAGTATTCTCTTGGTGGCACTCCTGACCACTGGGGTTGGATATTGCTGGGTTTTCTAAAGAAAACTGCTCATTAGTCACTGACTGGATCATAGCCAGATACACAGCTTTCATCATCAGTGACGATTCTTAGCATTAAACTTCTAGTTCAAGTTTATGTTTGCTCTGTGTGCAAGTCTCTGCAGATGGTTTTCTGTGAGTGGTCCGAACAGAACTTCTGGGAGCTGTGTTGGAAGCTGTCCTCGTGCACAAAGATATGACCTTGATTTATGATTTTTATAGGACGGAGTAGCAACGTTTTTGTTTTTTGTTTATTTTTAATCACACCAAATACAAAAAGTACCCAAAATGTATTAAGCTCAAAAATAGAACATATTGGTTTCTTTAGACTTCCTCATCTGAAACGTCATCATTCTTGATGCTGCACTAAGGGATTGTTATACTTGTCACCAGTTGTTGGAGAGCTGATGGGATTTTCCCTGCCTGTCTGTAGGCTGCTACAGGAGCAGATGGAGAAGTCACTGTCTGATACTCAGCACAGGCTATCTGTGAAGATGAATGAGCTGCATGCTTCCCATGTGCAGATAGAAAAACTTGAGGAGAGAATAGGTGAATATGTTGAAACAGTCATTACGCTTTTTTCTTTTTCCGTAAGGCTCTGTTTCCTGTTTGCTGAATTTTAGTTTGCCTTCCAGGGGAGCTGAGTCAGCAGAGTTCCAAGCACAAAGGGGAAGTAGCTGTTCTTCACAAGTCAATCTCTGCCCTGGATAAAGAAAAAGATGCTCTGCAGGATGAGGTGGATCAAAAGACTGAGAAACTGGTTGCTCTTCAAGAGGAACTATCCAACAAGGTAGTATTTTTTATTTTATTTATTTATTTATTTATTTAAGGTTCAAGATTACAAACTTTTATGAAAGGATCGAATTTCATGTCCATATGTGAAATCTTAAAGGTCAAATCTCACATCTGACCCCTAATGTCCAGTTCATGTGACGGGTGTGATCGCTGGATACTGTGCCAGCTGTCTCTGTGAAAATTGCTGTCAAATAATTAACTCTTTGAGGCATGTAAGACAACCACTTCCATAACCACTTCCAAAAGAAAAATATTTCAAATAAAATCATGAGCCTCTTTGTGCTCTACAAGAGCACTTTTCAAAACCATGTGTGCAATTGAGAGCAACTACGAGAGAGGAGTTGAGATGCTGAGAGAAACACAAGCGTACTTGGACCTGGATGGGGAATTGTGCTTGGACGCTGTGTAAATCAACTGTGCCTAGTACGCGTACACCAGTTCAGTGTTTTGTGGCCCAGTCTTTTGGGTCAAAAGAAGAGTGGATCTAACTAAATAGCTCTGTCTTCTTTGTCCCTCCAGATAAACTTAATGGATTTATTATGGGAGTAGTGGGTCTGAAGCTGAGACTGAATCCATGATCGAAACATTGAGTGTGTCACACAAGAACCGGTTTATAACTGAAAGCTTTTACATAACTAATGGAGAGATGTGTCCACTCTAGCTATTGTTTGCAAAGAACATATTATATGAACTAATCTGTGGCTCAAGAAACAAACCATGGATTTGTACAAAAAGAAGGCTTTGGATGATGAGTTGTACTCATACACTGGAATCACATGAGGAAGGAATAAATACAGTAACACATGGGTTTTCTATTAAAATGCACTTTGCATTTGCATCTAAAACATGTTATTTAAAAAATTAATGAGGTAAACTCTTGATATTTACACAGGAAAAGACCCTTGAAGACGTGAGACTCACAGTCACAAACATGGACAGCTCGTTAGCGTGAGTACTGTGTTCTTGGGGTTCAATGTCGGTTTTATTTAAGTAAATATTAGGATAAAAACCCAACGTAAGAAATAAAGTTTTTCTTTTTATGAACCAATATTTTAAATTCTTTCAGTCAGCTTCAAGGAGCGTTAAACAGTCGTGAGAGGGAGTTGAACAGCCTCAGGAGACAGCTGGATGCGTCTCGGGAGGAGCTGGCTGGACTCAGGAGAGAGAAGGAAATTACAGTCCGAGAGAACAGGAGACTGCAAGATGACCTAGCCACAATGACCAGGGAGAACCAAGTAAATAAAAAAAATCACAATTACTGTAATCAATGTTGAGTCTTCTGTGTCATGTACCAAAATAATAGAAGTGACACTAGCTACTTGCATCTTTTTTGTCCAGGCTGTACATGCAGAAATGGAAGAGTCTTTACATGAGAAGGATGAGCTCAAGTTGAGGCTCCATTCTTACATTTCTGAAGTGGCCAGAGTAGAGAAGCTGATTGCCACAAAGGCAAGAACATATCCCTTTGCTCCTGTATTTTATGTTTGCGACTTTACACATATTATAATTACCTGGAAGCCCTTGTAGAAGCCTTCTTCTGACAGCTCTGTTGACCCACAGGAACAAGAGAACAGGGATTTGTTGGAGCGGTTCAGGTTGTCCCACATGGAGATGGAGGAGCGGAACCAAAAGTTACAGCAGGCTGAAGGCCTCAGCAACTCCATCCGTCTGGAGCTGCTCTCTTCAGACACAGAACGCAGACACCTCCGAGATGCAGTCGGCCAACAGGAAAAGGAAATCCAACAGGTGAGATGTGGCACTGGAAAAAGATTACAGAGACATTTCTAGCTGCTATTCTAGGTAAACAAGTTAAATGAATGTTAATTTCAGTCTTTAAACAAATGTGTCTGAAATGCACCCTTTTTCACTTTTCTGTTTATCCAAGCACATGCAGGCGATCCAGGCTTACGAGGCGCAAGTTTCCTCGTTGGTTCGTGGGATGTCCCGATTAGAGGAAGAGCTACACAAAGCACAGGAAGAGAAGGCTGCTCTCCTCGCAGATCTGGCTTCAGTTAGGGAGCTATGTGTCAAACTAGACTCGAGCAAGGAGCTCACTGCACGTCAGCTCACCTCCAGGAGCATGGACCTCGAGCGGGTGAGGCTTGCTGTGGTGCCGGCTTATTTATTACAGTGTTTTTTCTGGTCTTGGCAGGAAACTGTTCACATCCTGTTTTCCTTCAAACTTAATTATGATATTTGCTTTTTGTTTTTAGGTTACAGGAGAACTGGAGGATGTCCGGTCAGAGGCGGAGATTCTCAAGAAGCAGTTAGCCAGCGAGCGGCTGACTGTGCGTAACCTCGAGACACTGCTCTCCACAAATCGGCAAAAGGAGTTTCAAACACATCTGACAGCCAGCGAACGAGAGTCAGAGCTGAAAGTGCTACGAGACAGGCTCACCTTGGCTGACAGCAAAACGTAAATAAATCCCGTTCACTCTACTTGTTAAAAGAAATCTCCTTCCTAAAGAAAAAGTTGGTAACTTGTGTGTCTGTGTAAAGTGCAGAGCATGCCAGGGAGGTGTCCCAGCTTCGCGGCAAAGTCTCTCAATTGCAGACAGAGATTGACGTTCTGAAAAGGCAGCTGACCACTGAGCGCTTTGAGCGGTGAGCTACACGACTGTTTGTCTTTACAGTGATGCTTATAACAGCAGTTTCTCTTTGGGGATTAATAAAGTAACCTATCAGTCTATCTGTGGGCGTTATTGATGAATCTGATAGCAATTGTTTCTAGATTAATCAAAAAGAAATCAATATTTTCATTACATGAGACCGAAAATCTCAAAAGTGCCAAAAAAAAGTATTTTTGCAACTCTATCCATCCCATGAAACCACTTACTAATACAGAGCAGGTGATATCAGTGTGTTGCATTGGAAAAATGTCATTATTAATTTTTTGGGTAATCACGTAATGTTAACTCTGAACCAGAAATGTTTGGTTATCAAAATTTCACCCTGAGTGCACCACATCTGTCAGGATTGATGCAATATTCCATCATATCACTCAGCTACTGCAGCTTCATAACACGAGTAAATACAGCTGATGTAACAGCAGTCTTAAATATCATTCCACTAAAAAAAAAAAAAAGAGTAATTACATTGGGTTTTTAATTTTAGCTGTAAAAAACTGGCCAAATACATTTGAAGTTGGATGAAACGATTTCTGACATTTAATTCTCCAAAACAACCTCACTCTTCATTTTTACCCCTCAGCCGTAGAAGACTGATGGGGTTTTGTCATCACCCCATCAGGTCAGATCAACTTTGTAGCTACAAGGACGTGACCGCAGATACAAATATTCTGATGCTGTTTTGTTGCCTCCTTTCTCTCTCTCACCTCAGTGAAAGGGCAGTTCAGGAAATGCGCAGACAGGGTCTGTCGTTCTCAACCCTGCAAACCTCATCATCCCTCAGCGTCTCCAGCAGCTCTCACCACATCTCACCAGAACGCTCCATCCTCCGATCTCTTGATCACTCCACTGATAAATCAGCAGACAGGTAAGCCATAAACATAACAGTTTGGGAAATAAGGTGAAAGACATTTAAAACCAATATGATCTTAAGTTGAGGCTGAAAATGTTGAGGCTTGATTTATTGCCATTATTATGACTATTATCATGTGTTTAAAACCTCTCTTCCTCCCTTCTGTTTTTAGGAGTGTGAGCTTCAAGGATTGATTGGAACAAAGATTAAATGAAGGCACTGACAAGTGAGTCAGAACCCACTAGAAGCTTGTGAGTGATGTCTTGACTTTGGACATAAAAAATGAAGGCCTCTGTAAACCACAGTTTAACCTGTGGAGTACCTCATAGAAACTTTATTGTTCCGTTCAACAAAAGGGCAACCAGGGCTGTTTAAATAACGTTTGTACTAAAGGTGAAGATTTTTCTAACATTTCTAACAATGTTTTTTGAATGTGTTACTTGCACTGTAGATTAAGTATTTTCTATTGATTTAAAAACAAAAGCTTCATAAAGAAGTCCCAAAAAAATGAATGTGATTCCCACCATCTTTAACCACATGTAGCAAGTGTTCATTTTGTGTGAGGTTTTTTTTGTATTATGTATATTATGCTTAAATTATTCATAAATAAAGTAATTAAAAACTGCAAACGAACATCAGAAAAGGTAAACTTCAGTTTTATTACATGGTAAATAATCTCAGTTACATCAAAGAGGGAGAGGAGCTGGCAACGAGAGGCTGCGATTGAGCATTAAATAAGCTTGATATGAAACCCTTGACCATCCCAGCACATGGTGCGTGTTTTAGCCTGCTAAACCACTGAATGCCCACTAAAACCACTGAACAATTTTTTTCTAAGGTCTACAGTGTATAAAGCAACAAATAAAAACAGAGTTTGGTATTGCAACCATATTAATATTTCCATTGTTGTATACTGAGCAGATATAATTACTGTAACAGCTGACATAACGTATGGTTTGGTTGACCTTTTCTTTTGAATTTGATTTCAAGCTTTAGTGGTTCTGAAGTCAGGTCTTTCTCGTCCAATAATCAGCACTTTTAAAAGGCACGCGGACATCAAGTAAACCTGTGTAACAGCTCTGAAAATACAATTTGTTCCTTAAAAATAGTACAAACGGTTTTCTATAAAAAAAAAAATACAACTTTAAAGCATTGCTCATTTAATGCCGACAGTGTGCAGCGGTTGTGTTGGGGAGAGGGTATGTGAATAGAGAAAAGTCTAAAATGTACTTGGGCAGGAGTTCTCTCAGTAGCTTCTGTGGTAAGCTGCATAAATAATAGTGTATTGTTTCCGTGGTGACCGGCTTGTACCACGTTTGCCTTTCTGGAAAGTGAACATGAGGAGGCGCTCCAACATGCTGGAGCACAAACTCCGCGTCGCTTTCCAGGTGCTCGTAGGACCCGATGAAATCATAAGAAACAGCACAAGGTTGGCATAAGTTATATATGGGCATCCAGTGCTCATTCATGCGCTCCACGTCCTCGTCTAACAAGTAACGAACAAACTCTGCAAAAGTCACGTCGTCTCCTGTTATAGCTGCATCCTTAGCGCGGCCTTTTCTGTAACGCTTTATGATCTCCACGCCGTACTTTTTCTGGTAGGACTCTATCTCGCCAAACTTGTTCCTGTATGCGGAAAGCAGGCGCTCCATGGGCTCTCGCACAAACATGAACTTGAAGTAATGCTTGAGGCGGTAGCGGATCTCTTCGGGCTTCAGAGAGGACAAGAAGACCAGGTCGCTGCGGTGGTCCATCTTGATGTTGACGTCCACGTTTTCCAGGGCTCCGCTCAGGACCTTCAGAACCCTCTTCCAGTTGGAGCAGGCCACTTTGGGGACGTAGCAGTAGAGGAAGCGGTGCTCGTCGTTCACGAGGACATGCTGCAGCAGCGTCTTCCTCTGTAGGAGGCTCAGTGACCACACACTGTGGGGCATGTTCTTGTGACTGCACATGGTTTTGATGGTCCGGTTACGGATCTCCTGGAGGATCTAAAAGTGAACAGAAATCAGTGACTTCAAGCTGTGTTCCATTAATTTTACACAGTAAGAACACTCCCTGTGTTCATATACCACTTTGCATTTAATCATTACTTATTATTTGTCTCTGGCTCTCTTCCACTGTGAGTCTTTAGTCCTATCTCCCTTCCCTCACATCTGCCATGGCCACAGCCGGTCTTGGCAAGCTTCTTCCTGTTAAAAGGCAGTTTTTCCTTCCCACTGTTGCCAAGCGCTTGCTCATAGAGTATCATCTGATCTCGTTTTCTCTGTATTATTGTCTGGTCTTTGCCTAACATTACAAAGAGCCTTGAGGCAATTGTTGTGATTTGGCTCTCTATAAATAAAACTGAATTTAATTGAACAAGCATCAAATAAAAAAAAAAATACTGAAACATTTGTCACTGAGGTTCAGGATATCTCAGTCCTTCTGTTTTCCTCGTATTGTGTTCGCAATAAACCTGAAGTTGGGTATGGCAAATACATGTTTGCACAAGTAGAAAATACTTTGCCGAGCCAGCCTGAAGAAATTTTGACCGTGTCTATTAGCTGATAGACTGGATTTCACTTGTGATTCTACCAATCAATATAAACAGGGAAACCTTAATGGTGCTGTTTGAGGACAGCTGGACCATTTAAATCTTTTTATATAGATATTTGACTCTGGCTGTTTCTTGTATGTCTCCTCCTCCCATTTGTGGTTACATGTCAGTATTTGTGGGTTTCCAAAGCATTTCAGCAACTGTATAATTGCAAATAAAGCCTCGTATATGGTGTGAATCCCCTTTAAGAGGCCTCCAGTGGTGTGAAAGTGCAACACTTTTTACTGGGTAGATGTTTTGCAGAAAAATGTCACGATTTAATCTTTCGTTACAGACTCTGGCCACTTTAAACTTTTTATAGGTGGATGTGACTGGTGAATTTACTAAGTTGTTATTATAGTTGATTTTTACTTTATTTAATTACAATTTTTAATTTGAAGTCCCATTAGTTTCCAGTTTTAGTTTCTTTAAAATAATATGGACATTGAATTTAAGAATATAAACAGTGCTTTTTCAAGGCATTTGACTCAGTTGTGTGGACTTCCTGAGTGTCAGTAAATATCTGCACCAAAATCTCATGAGGCAGATAATGACATGGTCGTTTCCTGTGTATTTTTCCATTTCAGTTCACTTTTGAGTGCTTAAAATGATTTCTGGTTTGAGTTAAATTATTTATCCCAAAAGTTGGAAATGTGTTAAAGCAGATAAAGTATGGAAAAACATCTCAGAAGGAAATGTCTCAGAAATGTAGAATATTATACTTAACGGGAAAATCTCAGTAATTCACAATGTAATATGACAGTAAGGAGCTTTAAAGTTAACGTGAATGCTGGTATTAAGGTGGTAAACACTTTGTGCATCTGTCCCTGTTAGAGGGGAGCTGAAACGTGTTCAGAGCATGTCCAGTAAGTGTTACCGAGGGGTGGTCGTGTATTATTCACAGCCACTCACCAACTCCTTTTATTTCTAATTTTAGTTTAGTTTTAGTTCACTAAAGATCTTTAAATATTATTTACTGCAGTAATGTGGACAGGGGCATAATTTCCAGGAGGGTTATGATTCCCCCCCAATACAGTTATTAATAAATAGGCTGTTGATTTTGTTACCCATTTCAGTTATTACCAGCAAAATAGTTGCATGTTTAATCATTTGGGAATTTACCCAGATGATTACACCCCCCACCACCAATGTTCAGCACAAAGTTACGCCCATGAATGTGGAGTGAAACTACATTTGATCAGGGGTACCATGATGTCAAAGTTGGCTGCAGGGATTCAAAGATGGTGTTTAAATCGAGCGTTCACGGAAACCAACCAAAAATCTACCTTTCAACCATTTCACTGAGGAAACTGCTCTAAGGCTCTTAAGCCTCCGGCTTATCACCGATCAGCAACTATTACGAAATGCTGAAATATTCAGACTAAATCTAAGCTAAATCTTCATGTGGGGTTACATTCCTCTACCTGGGACTCCAGGTCCGCCGCGTCTGGGCTGCGTCCCCCCGCCTGCCCCCGGTGGAAGTCTAGTCGCCTGCCGTTACTGCGGGGTGAAGGCGTCTCCATGCCGTTTAGCATTCCCTTCTCTATCATGAGCAGCAGGCCTCCGGATGCTACGATGACCAAGAAGGTTAACAGCGACGGCAGCACGGCGGAGCTGCGGCGGCCAGAGCTCAACTTCATCGCTGACCTGAAGTTTATAACCGAACCGCTCCGCGCTCCTCCGCTCCTCTTCATGCCGTACTCCTGCCTCCGAGGGAGCATAGTTTGTGTCCGGCTTGTCTGTTTGATGCCTACCAGGTTTTCTAAGTTGCTCTCTAACTACAGTAATACCTACCACGTACCCATACTTAAGTTCAAAAGTGCACGAAAAGTGTTTTTGTGTTTTAATATAAGCACTTCCTGTTTTGACTGTCAAAATAAAAACCCCTCAATCAGGGGTAAATCGGAGTCTGTTTTTGCTAAGAAAAAAAAAACACTCAAAATTGCCTAACAAACCACAGAAGGTTTCATTTCTAATTTATTGAGAATACACTTACAACATAGACGGTAAACTACTTGAGATTTCATAAGAGAAATAAGTGCAATTTTTAGTGTGATGATTTAAGTTTTCCAGTCTTCGTCTGCATCATCTCTGAATACATGTGCATTAAGTTACAGATCATAGGAGAAAGGCACAAAACTTTGTGTAGTTTTTTTTCCCCATGTAGAATTTTTGTAGTAAAACAAAAAATGTATATTTTTTAAATTTATGATGCAAACTAGATTGTTTGACGTTGAAAAATAAATGTAATAATTTCTGTAAAGTGCTTTTGCTCGCTGTTTTTCAACTGCGCAAACTGATCAAGCTAACTAGAATATACAGTTTCAAAATAAAATCCTTACTGCTTTGTTTTAGAGAGGGGGGGGGGACCAAAGTATCCCTATGCATGCTGGTGTATGTAGTCCAGTTAGCATTTTCTGATTTTTATCTCCGCATTCAAACATAGCTTGGTAGATCCTCAACTAATCTATGGTCCTTAGACTGAAAACATTTATATAGTATGAATCAGCTGTGAACACAAACTGTTTATATTTCAAAACTATACATCCTGCTAGGCACTCAATACAAAGCCTAAAATGTACAGCATTCCTTGTTTTTATCCACCTTTTCAATCCAGCTGCACCTTACTGCTCCACAAAACTGTCTGGCCCAAAGCTGGAATCATTGATACCACTGTATATAAGAGAGACTACAGCTAGAAATTCACCAGTGACTGGCAGGAGATGCAGCCAAAAGTTAAAAGAACAGCTGAGCACCTCGGAAAGAGTTCAACACACCGGCTGGTAAAACACTGCCCCCTGGTGGTGAATTTCTTAGTTAAAATTTGCCAAAGTAGTTTATTTTTGTGATCTTTGTGTATTTCCCTTTTCTATGGCAGTAACTTTCAAACTACTGACACCTTTGCTGCTTTGCTGATTACAGATGTCTTTTCAAATCTTTTTTACTTAATTAGTTTTTGAGAGACTCGCATGCCTTCTTGCCTTTTGAAGATTGGAGACAAAACATGAGTCTTTCTCTTAATATGCTGGATGGGTGAACGGGGGGTGAATATATGTGCCCTTCTCCGGTTATCCTACACGCAGCCCACAGTACGGTGTAAGCGGTCTGCTGTGTAACTGTGATGCTTCAGGGTTGTATTATCACTGGGCATCATACAAGAAAACCACAGACTCAAGACACCCTTGCAGGATTTACACCTGCAGGAAGACCACCCTGCCCTCCCTTCCCTCCTCGGTGCTTTCACTTCCATTCAGTTCGTCATTCCTTTCATTACCACCCACAGGCACGAGCTTACGTTACAGTAACGTGCTCGCATCGTGACCGGAGCTCATATATGCGCTGTTACTTCGCCGACACTCGCCTTTCTCTGGCAGCCACACCCTCCCATCTTCATCTCCATCTCTCACGCGTGCAGCTGTGACCGTCGGGCGGTGCGTGCGTCTCCGTGTCGGGCACCCGCAGCATCAGCAACACAAAAGGGTCGGAGCTGGAGCTGGGTTTACCTCAGCGCGGATCGGAAGGAGGGGATCGCGTTTCCGAGCAAAGGTGGTGGGATTTTTTATCTTCTTCTCTTCCATGTCGGTTTGTGTTTATGGTTACTGACTTCCATTTTCACGACGCTATTGACCTTGTCATTGTAGACCACCCCTCATTTTACCCATTGACCTGCTCAGATCTTCTACTCCATCCATCGCAGATCCGTGTGTGTTCGTCTGTGTGTGTGTGTGTGTGTGTGTGTTTGCTGTAAATGGGCTGGTACTTGCAATTTGATCCGGTTTGAAATGCGCAAACGCCGATGTCAACAGGCCAGGTTGTGCTCAATCGTTACTTTTTAAACCCCAAAACAATCCTCATCAATTAAACGCCGTTTGGATGCTATCAGTGAAAAATGTGAGAAAAGCAGAGGCCACATTCTTTGTTCTCCACGCGCTTTTTAGTCTGCAATTAATAGACTGTAGTCCCCGTGCGGCGGCATCCGCTAATCTGCAATCAGCGGTTAGGTATCGATCGGTGCCTTTAGGGTGTATGTTGATGTTCTCCTTTACTTTGTCTTCCCCTAAACGATGGGCAGTCGGTATGAATTATAAGGATGTTTATGCCAGCTTGAAAACCATGCGCAGGCCATATGGTGCGGGCCTACATGTGCGGGGGGGAAATGAAGGAAATTATGGATTTATTTTCCCACGCGTCATTTAAAGCCTTTAAATCAATGCTGCAACACTGTCATACCAATGGACTTTGAGGCTGAGACACACAGGCAGCGAATATTAATGTCAGCTTGCCAGATATTAATTCACAGGTTACTGGTGCTGGGTTTATGGTGCTGGTGTGGAGTAAACTGGTCTGTTTTCTGGTTGGCTGATTCAGTGCTTGACTGACATGAAGATGTAGACTGCTGTAGTATTTATATTTTAGGTCATCAATAGAAAGACTGAAGCACGTGCTTTGCAGGAGAAAGATATGATAGTAAAGACGATGATAGCAGATAAGTGGAGTTACTTAGCAGCTATAACAACAAGCCGCTTCATATCCAGCCTTTAGAGTATCAGATCCACTGATGCACAGTAAACAACAAACCGTTATCGTATCATCACCACCCAATGGTGACTAACTGGCTTTTTTTTCTTTGCAGAGACATCTGCTGAGTGTCTTTGTAGTGCCAGACATGAATTTATTTTATTTGAGTCATGTATGGCCCTGGGACCTCAAAATAAAATGATTTAATTTGAAATTCTGTAAGATGTAAAAATGTCTGTCTGATACTCTGGTCTCTGTGTGTTTTAAATATCAGGAAAAACAGAGCTGAAAAACCCCATGATAACCTAGAAAGGTTGGTTGTTCATTAAACGAGTGACTGTCCAAGAGTATGTGCACAGCGTGTGATGCACTGACCGGATCCAGCATTTGATTGTAGTTTGCATCTTACTGCATGACCCACCTGACTCTGTATACTGAAATGAAACAAGTACTACGATTTGTCCTCCTTTAGTTCAAAATAGTAGCAGAATAACTCACAGTATGTTATTAACACAAAACTCAATTGTATTCCATTTTAATTTATTTATATGGCACTATACAGACCCTACTGCTTCTAGTGAGTCAAAATGCCCCAGGGTCCTTTTAGACTGCCTAAATGATTTGATAAAAGTACTGGATTCTGACACCAGCCCGTACCACCAGGCTAACCAATACACCAGCCCCTGTAAAAAAATGTAAAAATGATAAAGAATTTGCTAGATACCTAACCTGATTAAATAATCACAGTTTTAATCATGTTGTGCAAAGCTCCGCACTGCCCATCTAAAGCATAAGTTCTCTTATTCTATACAGAGGTTTGCATTACGATTATTGCTGTTCTTCTCCAAAGCTAAAAAAAAAATGTAATTACAGTCTGGCAGTCAGTTCCTTAGGAGGCCTGTCCTAATTATTCAGTCCTCTGTGATGCAAGTTAATATCAACTCTTTAGAAATTTCCTTCCTGGATGATCTTAGAAATGTTTATGTAACACATCTCTGCCCTAAATAATATGACCGCACAGTGTTTATTGTGTTTATGTTGTTATTCTTATTTTCCTGACATGCGTCATATATTTAGGTCACCACAGAAATGTTAGCATATATCAAAATGACAAGGGATTGCAGCAGGCTGTAGATCACATATCTGTGTAGGTTTGTATATTTAATGAGATCCATTCAAAATGTTCTTATTTGTGGACATTTCCCCCTCTGTGTATTTCTTATAAATCACAAGATGACATCACATTGCATCTATACAGATTTCCGTGCTACGGAGAAACATATTCAGCCATGCTTTCCAATTTCCATAAAAAATTTGAATGGCTGCTTTACCACATGCCAAGTGTAGTGGCTGCTACAGTATCACTTAGCATAGAGAAGGCTGTTTGATCCTGGCCTTTTTCGCACAAAGTGGAATCGTTAAGACACTCTGCTCGCCGTGTGTGCGCGAATACACGAGGATGTGAATATCTGTACTAGAGCATGTTTGCGCTGCTTTACTGGGAGGTTTCTATTTATGCACATAGGCAGTCAGAGAACAGTCTGTCTTTGAAGTGCTGTGCTGCTGTAACATAGGCGGCATCCAGGTTGGTAAAGCCCCATCATTACCATATCCCTGTGAGACTGCAGTGTGATCCTGCCAAAACTGGAGAGTGGGGGGAATAGCCCTTATTACACAGTAACACTGTGGTGATTCTCACAGCCATTATGGTACCACGTCACATTATTATAAATGTAAAAAAAAGGATTGAGGGCAATTAGCTCCTTTTGTTCTCCTAAAAAAGGATATTTACTTTAAAAAAAAGCCACTAAATAGTTCCACAAGCTGACTTGTGTGTGTTGGATAGTGTTGGATAGCTCTAAAGGCTGTGAGCTTCACAGACTAGTCTATTACAGACATTTGTGACCATAACACTATTAGGGAGCTGTGATGGGGCGCATTACAGACCTTTATAATCACACATGTGCATCCATGATTGCAGTTAACCCACAAAGAAAGTCTTTATGAGCATCAGCCAGTTGAAATGCTGAATGCCACTCTGTTCTCCTGCACTGGATATCTGGCGGGGAAAACAAAGTGTCACTTTGTGCCTCCTCAGCACAGCAGCACTAACAGACACAGGAGAACGCCCATCTCTCTTCGCTAGGCACTCTCACTGCCCCTGTACCCACCGACACACCTCCTCCCTTCAGACTGTGCGTGTGCTCCACTCTCTGACACACATGAGCCAAAACTGACATGAGTTTTCATCATATGACGTCACCTCACAGGGACAATAATATTCTCATCAGCGTGAGAATATCAAGGGATGCTTACCGAGTCATTCTCCCGTGCGCCCACATACATGGACGTACATGCGCACACAACCGAGTGCTCACCGCATTTGACACCTGACTCCAGGTAATGCCCTAGATCCACAGTGACAGCAGGCAGGTGGAACAGGCACACACTCGCAGATCCCCTCGCGCACAAAGCGACTTCACAAGGGTAAGAAAGCAATCTTGAGCACACAGTTAGGTTTGCCTCTTCTATGCTGTTTGATGGTTGACTTAAGCTGTAGATTGGTGTAGACAGTCTCTCTCTGCTTGAAAGACACCTATCATGTTGCTCATGCTGTACAAGGTTATTATGTGCAGTAATGTTACTGTATGTTATTTGTCTAATAAAATATGCTGAGTCATGATGTTAGTGTGTGAGATGGTCAGGCAGGAGAAAAGGGGCTTTTTGCTTATTTGCAAAACTTAAGCATAGTCACTTAACACTTGCCTAATGTGGAAAATATAACCACGGTCATGTGATACATGTTGCACGTGACTCCTAAATCCATTGTTACACCACACGCAGCCTTTGGCTTTCAAAGGAGGGGACAAATACCAAGAACACTGCAGCTGGTGTTTACTCCAGACCTGTCCGACCAAACTGTACATTTAGTGCTTCTGTTAAGGTTTTTCAACACTACGCTTTATGGCTGCGGAGTTCAGGCAATAAGTTAATAATAAGACCATTAATGAGGTCCATGGAGAAATGTCAGTTACAGTCAGTTAACAGCTATACTGGCAGTTATACTCCCCAGATGGTCAATGATATTGACTACCTGCATCATGTTAGTTTGTCAGCACTGGCATTATGAGAATTTCAGTACAGTAATGTTAGCTCCAAGCACTACTGTGCACAGGTGCATCCTCATGAAGCTGTATGTAGTCTTCTAAATGCCATGTGCAACTCCAGTTCCACAAAAGTTAGAATGCGCATAACATGTCAATAAAAGAAGAATGCAAAGATTTGCATATCTCATATTTTTTCACAATAGAACATAGAAAATATATTAAATGTTTAAATTGAGAAAATTTACCATTTTAAGAATAAGAAAAAAGCATTTAGCAATGATGATGCCTTTGCAATTCCACAAGGACTACTGCACCCCTTTACAATCAGAGGCTTTTAAACTGAGTGCTGATAGCAAACTGGACTGTCCTCCTCCTCTTTAGTCTGAAAATAAATGTAATCTTTGCCTCATCTGAACACACAGCAGTATTAAACTGAGTTTTAACAGAGGTTTTTCCCCAGAGCCGACAGTGGTTTTTCTAGATCATGTTCAGATATGGCTTCTTATTTGCATGATACAAGTTTAAACCTGCATTAGTGGAATGCACGGCTGTGTTCACAGGTGATTTATGGAGGTGTTCCTGAGTTCATGTCCATTTTTAATGCAGTGTCCAATATTGACTTTCAGCCTTGTCCTTTACGCACAGAGATTTTTTCAGTTTCTCAGACTCTTTAATAATATTGTGTACTGTAAACGATGACATGTTCAAAGTTGTGGCAATTTTACTTTGAGCAATGTTACTTTTAAAAAGTTCCACAATTTGTAGATCAGTGTTTTTGAAGATTGAACCTCTGCCCATCTTTACTTCTGAGAAATTCTGCCCCTCTAAAATGCTCTTTTTATACCTGTTTTTTCAGTCTTTTGTTACCTCTGTTGCAAAATTTTTGAGACATGTTGCTGCCATCAAATTCAAAATGGGTTAAATATTTTTTCATTAAATAGTAAAATGTCTTAAGTTTGAAAATTTTGTACGTTTTCTATGGTCTATCAAAGATAAAATATGAGTCTATGAGAATTGTAAATCGCTGTATTTATTTTGTACCCAACATTTTTTGGAAGTGAGGTTGTAAATATCGGTGCTACTGCATCATCCATAAGAACGTTTCCTTATGGCAGTTTTTTATCTTTTGTCAGTAGATTATGCCTTAGCTCTAACTCAGGCAGAAGTAGGTTTAGATCTAACTCGCACAACTGAGTATGTTCACTAACTCACATGGGGCTCTGGTTTCATGGCAGCAGAAACAGCATCAGCACATGTTGGTGTTTTGATGTTTATGTTTGTCTTCCTTAAGCCCTGTACAGCAAGTGTGGTACAAAGGTTGTAAGAGGGGAGATTTGCATTAAAATTAGCTGCAAAAAAAGCTTAAAAAGACACATGTGGACTGAAATCAGCTTAGAGCATGGAGCTAATGGTTAATCCACCTTTAAATGCAAGTGAAAATGTGCAGCCCTGACAATAATGAAACTGCTAACAAATAATTTGATGAAATACTTTGCATCATCTTTAGATATTCAGGTTAAATTTAAAGTTGACTGTGACAGTAGAAGTCAAATGATCTGTAATTAACTCTGAATCCATCAGTGGACGACTGGATGGTCTGTATGAAAACCAGCCTGCTGCTGTAAAACCACTGCATTAGCAGGTGTAAGTGCGTCTGTCCACAGATATAGAAGACTGAAATAAAAAATAACAAATCAAAATAAGATTGTAGTACAAGTCACCAGCAGGTATTGATAAGCCATAGTCACTAGAAGTGTCAACAGTTTATGACCCTGGCGCCTTTTGCAGCATTTTCAATGCAACTGCCTAGCAAATTATATCTTTGCATACATATATACAATGGGGCAAAAAAGTATTTAGTCAGCCACCGATTGTGCAAGTTCCCCCACTTAAAATGATGACAGAGGTCAGTAATTTGCACCAGAGGTACACTTCAACTGTGAGAGACAGAATGTGAAAAAATAATCCATGAATTCACATGGTAGGATTTGTAAAGAATTTATTCCTAAATCAGGGTGGAAAATAAGTATTTGGTCACCTCAAACATGGAAAATCTCTGGCTCTCACAGACCTGTAACGTCTTCTGTAAGAAGCTTTTCTGTTCCCCACTTGTTACCTGAACTCATCATCTGTATAAAAGACACCTGTCCACAGCCTCAAACAGTCAGACTCCAAACTCCGCCACTCCGCCATGGCCAAGACCAAAGAGCTTTCGAATGACACCAGGAAAAGTATTGTAGACCTGCACCAGACTGGGAAGAGTGAATCTACAATAGGCAAGCAGCTTGGTGTGAAAAAATCAACTGTGGGAGCAATCATCAGAAAATGGAAGACATACAAGACCACTGATAATCTCCCTCAATCTGGGTCTCCACGCAAGATCTCATCCCGTGGGGTCAAAATGATCATGAGAACGGTGAGCAAAGATCCCAGAACCACACGGGGGGACCTGGTGAATGACCTGCAGAGAGCTGGGACCAAAGTAACAAAGGTCACCATCAGTAACACACTACAACGGCAGGGAATCAAATCCCGCAGTGCCAGACGTGTTCCGCTGCTGAAGCCAGTGCATGTCCAGGCCCGTCTGAAGTTTGCCAGAGAGCACATGGATGATACAGCAGAGGATTGGGAGAATGTCATGTGGTCAGATGAAACCAAAGTAGAACTTTTTGGTATAAACTCAACTCGTCGTGTTTGGAGGAAGAAGAATACTGAGTTGCATCCCAAGAACACCATACCTACTGTGAAGCATGGGGGTGGAAACATCATGCTATGGGGCTGTTTTTCTGCCAAGGGGACAGGACGACTGATCCGTGTTAAGGACAGAATGAATGGGGCCATGTATCGTGAGATTTTGAGTCAAAACCTCCTTCCATCAGTGAGAACTTTGAAGATGAAACGAGGCTGGCTCTTCCAACATGACAATGATCCAAAACACACCGCCCGGGCAACAAAGGAGTGGCTCCGTAAGAAGCATTTGAAAGTCCTGGAGTGGCCTAGCCAGTCTCCAGACCTCAACCCCATAGAAAATCTGTGGCGGGAGTTGAAAGTCCGTGTTGCTCGGCGACAGCCCCAAAACATCACTGCTCTCGAGAAGATCTGCATGGAGGAATGGGCCAAAATACCAGCTACTGTGTGTGCAAACCTGGTAAAGACCTATAGTAAACGTTTGACCTCTGTTATTGCCAACAAAGGTTATGTTACAAAGTATTGAGTTGTATTTTTGTTATTGACCAAATACTTATTTTCCACCCTGATTTAGGAATAAATTCTTTACAAATCCTACCATGTGATTTCATGGATTTTTTTTTCACATTCTGTCTCTCACAGTTGAAGTGTACCTCTGGTGCAAATTACTGACCTCTGTCATCATTTTAAGTGGGGGAACTTGCACAATCGGTGGCTGACTAAATACTTTTTTGCCCCACTGTAAGAGGTGTCTTTGTTTTTGGTATGCACCTATACAGCCTACGTCTGACTAGCTGGTGCTGTTTGGATTTTTTGGAACCATATTTGCATATTTGCTGCACCCATACTGTATATGGGTGCAGCAAATACGTACATGGAAAGCCACCTGCTAATTAATACTATGTAACAGCAACTAATAAAATTACAAGAATTTCCTTCACCAAAATTAAAGCACAAACTTCATAGATGAGCTGTACTTCTTAGTGGACCATGACATTTGCTCGATAGTTCCATTAAAAATTCTTCAAAAGGCGCCAACGCTACAAACGCAATAGCGAGGTCGTATTCAGTTATTCAGATCAGTGGAGTTGAGGCCTAGCAGGCAGCTGCTGTCTGTCTGTTTGGCACACCTGTCAAAGCTTTATGAAAAGTGCAATTGTTAAGAAAGGGGAAACTACACATAGAGATCAAAGCTATTTTTTGTAGCAGGCTGTAAATGTGATGTTAATTCTGTTAAACTGGTGATTTTATCATGGCTGCAAATTGCCACACCGCAAACTGCAGTTTTTGTCATTTCTGTGGCTTTCGGCTCACTTCATAGAAACATTTAACATGAGGAACTGATTACACCATTACACTTGCTTTGCCACTGATATTTATTTTAACCAATATAGGGTGCACTAGATAGCAAGTGCACATGCATGCTCCTTTTACTATCATTGCTTGCCACTTTGTGCTGCTCTGTGCAACTGTTCTTAAAACAACTACATCAGGAGAACCAGGAGCAGTGTTTGCACATATGCAGGTGTGCACCTAGAGAACCATTTCAGTCTATTTGTAGTGATAAGCACTTGTTCTGTGTACATTCTCGGTCTCCTTTGGCCCTGCCTGTTTCTATGATTAGTATAGGCTGAGACACGATCGAAGTCCAAACCCTAAGGGCACCTAACAGATCTTGGGATTGCATCTCCTTCCTCATCCATCGCTTACCATCTCACTTTCCAATCCATGCTCCCATTCTTCAGTCTACACCTGATGCTTATACACCTAACAAACCCAGACCTGTTGTTTTGTCACTGCACTGTATTTATTTCACCGTTTTTCTCCCAAAGACACAGCGGAGGCAGCAGGAACATTCATCTGGGTAAAACGAGCTTTGTGCAAAAGGGCAGATCGATGTTCCCTAAGGTTTTACTGCAGTGGTGCGCAGCCATCTCGAGCTGCGCAGCTGAAATAGGTAAACTGTTAACACAGCTCCAACACGTTCGTCTGTCTGCTTTGTCAGCAAGCTACCTGTGCTGTGCGATTATGGCACATAGCTGCTACAACTCTGAGCTATGCCATCAGGACTCTGGTAGCTGTCTGGCCTGAAGGATGTTGAGCTGCTGAGTCGTTCAAAAGCGCTGAGACGCAGCATCGTGTTATGCCACCGCCATACTATGATGCAGCTGTATCCTTGTCAAAGGCATTTCTCTGCTTCTGTAGAGCACATGGCTGCTCCTCGTGCTTCTCTCATCCCATCTCTGTCCTCTGCAGCAATCGGACTACACATAAACACGAAATAAAAGCTTCTCGGCACACAGACACTTTCTCAACATTGGCACAAGCAGCCAAACAGACAAACAATAAAACAAGATTCCACAATATCTCCGTTTATAGACACAAACACATGCAGTCTCTTTCCTCAAAACACGCTCTCTCTGTCTGTGTTCACACTCCTACTTCCAAACATGCTTGTTTGCTCCTTGTCCTGTGCTGGCTGGAGTCAGACAGGACAAAGAGCCTTTTTCTGGAGCGAGACATTTCTGAGAGAGTCTGTGCAGCTCTGTCACACTCAGGAAGGAAGCCCACGACATGCTGATCCCACTGGAGGCAGCGGGCTTCTCTCCAGCTCTCTCAGTACTGTCTCTGATATTCTCTGGTTTTATCCTGACCACTTGTGGTTTTTTACAACACAACACACATTCTGCTGTACATCAGAAAACCTCTGGCTCGGCCGGCGTGCTGCAGACAGGTGTTGACCAGAGGACGCTGGGGTTTCAGGGTTCAGGAAGCCATCTGTGGTGTGTTGGTTCCTGCCAGTTTAGGAGTTGCAAATAAGAGGTGGTTTGTGTGGATCTCTAATTATGAGGCAACTTATAATACCTGCATCTTAGCTGAGAACTGTTACTTTGGATAAACCTGAGTTGTTGGGGGTTTTAATCACTATTTTTGCAGCCACAGCAGAGAGACTTCAGAGAGCTCATCTTGTTTTTATCATACCCCAGGAAAGCCAATCACAAGAGCCATTCTGCAAGAGCTAACAAAGCCGACCTTTCTGATGAGAGTAAAATGGAAAGCGCACAGGCCCTTTCCTCTTCCTCCTTTTCCCTGAATTAAAATCTTAATAGCAGCATCCCCATGTTCACTTCCTTTTTTCTCTCATCACAGCCAAGGTGGGCAGTGATCATAGCAACGGACACCATGGAAACTAAGCATGACATGGTCCTAGAGGTAACCGAATCCAAAGGCCCAGGTAAAGTAGTTTTATAGACATCTTAAAGAGACGGCCTTTTAAAAAAACATGTTAGGTTCATCGCATCATGACCTTTTTTTTTTTACTGTCTCTTTAAGAACTGCATGGTGTGGTGATGGGTTTGACTTCATAGAAGAGATTTACTTCATTTGTGGTGTGGTGTGTCCACATTCTGACTTCTTTAATCGCCTTGTTCTTGCTTGTCTGTGATCCCTGCAAGGGTCACGATGGCCCTCATGGAGAGTGAGTACAGCATAGTGCAAATTGAACAAAGTAACACATCAATGTTAAAACATCATGAAAACACATTTGTGTTCTGGAATTGCAAGTGTACAGATTCTGTACATTTATTGGTGGACATAATCGATAGCTGTCTTAATGATAATGTTAACAGATTCGACTATTTGACATATATGCTGTTTCAGTGGTGGATACTTTTACTCTTGGATCTTTGTGATGTCAGTGAGACTGGATATCCCCAATAAGGTCATCTTACAAACATGCAGTGCAAACCTTTTAGTTGTGAGGGGCAGCCAGTCAGCTGACAGGTGACTTTAAGTGAGAGCAGATAAAATGTCACATTTCAGACAAAGATAGAACCAAGAATGAGGGGGAAAGGGAGCTGAAAAGGCATAATAAGTGTATATAATAAAATATTATGGACACAAAATGAAAGAATTATCATGCCCTTTTTGCATGCACTATTTCCTGGCAGCGATCACAATTTGAAACTGGTTGTAAATAACATGTCCAGGAGTTTATAGTGGCTGTAAACCCCATCCTCTATAGGCAATTTGGGAGTTTTGAATGTTGCTTATTCTGAGAAATATTTTTTAAAAATGTCCCTCATCAGTTTCATACCGCTTATTAGTGACTGTAAGATGAAAACCATGGCTTTAATGGTTCACTGCTCTGCTGATGCTTTAAGTAAAAAAGCTACAAAACTCTACTTTATACTACCTGCCCAGCTATAGACAGTGCATATTTTTGCTGTTGTTATAAAAGCATAAAAACATTTGAAAAGATTAGACACTAGTTGGGTTTTTTGTAGTTTTTTGAATCTCCCAGCCTTCGATCAGGTAATTCATTTACAGCAGTTTGAAGCTTACAGATAAAACAAAAACAACAACAAAAAAGAAATGCACAGGAAAAAACTGAAGAAGAGCTGAAGAAACCAACTATTTAAAAGATGAAAAAATAGGAAAATAACTCATTAGATTATATATGGGAGTAAACTTTTCATCTTAAGGGTCTAGTGAAGAGATGGCTGCGGACATTAGGGAATGTACTAGTGTGAGATGATGTAAAGGGTGGGAACAATCAGACATGATGGGTTTTGCTTTCTTATGTAACTGCAGGGTTTTCAGTGCTGTTCCAGTTATTTTGCTGCAGATATTAATCACCTTATTCAGTATGTTTTCTGTTTGATCTCGAGAGACTGATTGCAAATGACAGCTTGGAAAGTGAGTTCAAATTCAATAAAAGAGAGATAAAGTGTTGTCACCAGGGCCCTGTCAACCTGGAGCTTGAGGAGTTTGTCGATATAAAAGAAACACTGTAGGTTTTCTTATTCTCATGTCAGTATTAATATTACTATTAGAGTGGACCTGTGATGCTTCATATTTTCTGCATTAGTGGTTAAACTTATATATATTAAATATGACTATGTTTTGAATAAATAATTTCAATTAATTTACATGTAATTCTTGTCAGCTAAACGTTTCAAACTGTCGCAGATTCTTTTCCCCACTTTTGGCTCACTATGATGTAAGTGACAGCAGATATTCCTCATATAGTCATCTCAAATCAACATAATTGGTTTTGAGCTCATAAGCCCCTCCCGCCTGCTCTTCAAAGTGTTGTTTTTAAGAAGCAACCAATCAGGAGAAAGTTAGCTTAAACGAGGGGAATGAGGCCCAGTATAAGATAAATAGGGATTATTGTGAACTGTGAATGCTGCAGAGCATTACGTTTACCATTAAAAGTTGTCACTTTGTATTACATATGAGGGCTAGGGTTACATAAGACATTTCTATGGCTTACACCCTTTCTGTCTGAAATATAGCAAGTTTTAGTTTTAGTCTGGCACTGCTTGTTTTGTTATGATGAGATAGAAATGAAAAGTTTGAGTCTAAAAGTAGTTTATTTTATATTTATTGTCTTTAATATGGTTTCCAAATACATGTAGAATTGCAGTGTTTGTATTATTCTGAGCATCAATCACTTTATTAAAAACCAAGTCCACTATGTGCCACAGATTCCTATTTTAGGAAAAGGAAAGAGTGGACATCTTATACTTCTATTTCCTAGCATGGTGGCAGGGGCCTAGGGCTGTGCAATATGAACAAAATCTCATATCCCGATATAAGAATTCTATCGTCCCGATAATGATATAAATCACAAAAATGTAACATTTTCTGTAAATTCTGTGAATCTCGGGCAGCTCGACTTGCGGTAAGTGTTTCCAGCTGCGCGTCATGTAGCTGGAGTCGAGTGTTTTAACCGATGCATGAAACGATACATTTTTAGACATAAGTTGTAACAGCCGCCGTTTTCTTTGTGAGTATTTATTACACGGCGTGCTGCGGGGAAAAGCCTGTTCTAACGTTTGAGTCTAAGGTTTATTTTTTTTAGCACCCGACGGCTCTTTTTTTGCTTCTCATCCGTAAATAATCTGCTCTTTCATGTGATTCAGTTTATTTTGAAAGGTTTCAACAGGATCTTGAGCTTTATTATGAAAGGTTTATGTGGAACATAAACAAGCGGACACGCGATGCTGTTACCGTCGTTGTTGCTAACCGCAACGCATAAAAACAGGCGCTTGTCCATCCGTATTGTGGTTATATTAAATATACGAGAAAGAGAGAACTTTAAGAAATTACAGTGACCATCAAAACGATGAAAAAATATTGCCGTAAACAGTTTATTTTGCGAAACCACGAAACAAACGATAGCGTAAAATGAAACAATAGATGTTTTTATATCGTCATCTGATATATATCGTTATATCGAACAGCCCTACAGGGGCCTACCATGTTTACAAAAAGTACTATATTTCAGCAATGCTGCACTGGTGTGATCCATCATATGTAGCAGCATGGAAGGAAACTGAATGCAAAACAATAACCGATATGCATATACAGGCAGTTCTGGCAGATAAAACTCTACAGGACTTGATTGTTAAAACAGGAAATCCATGGGTAAAAGCCACACTAGAGGTTTGGAAAATGGTAATAAAAGAAAATAAGTTGGATATAGATAAATACTTGGTGTGCTGCTGGCTGCATGTAAAAAGGCACTGACCAAAGGGTGGCTAACACAGGATTCACCAAGTGAGTCTTAAAATTAAGGTATGTGTCAAGTGATGTACATTTTATTTCAGGTTTAACTTCAATAAACACTTAAATTTAAAAAAAAAAAAAAAAAAAAAAGGTATTATCACCTGAATATTACACAGCTGCTGTGTTTTGGTTTCCCCCTTACATTTATGGATCAAGGATCACAGACTGCATACTGCATAAATAGTTATTTTTAGCTTGCTTCCTCCTGCTTTGTTCTGCTTCCGTCTTTTACCTTCACCAGATGTGAAACAATCCCAGATCGAATGGCTAGAATGAAAAAGCAGCAAGATTTTGAATCCTGGATTACCAGGGTCAAAGCATCCTGCATTGCGAGCACATGGGAAGCAAGACGTAACCCTCAAAAATAGGTTGTGCTGCTGCACAGTCTTGTTCTCTGCAGAAAAAATGTGTCCTGCCTTGTTTCATGCATGAGTGTGTGAGCATGCCCATGGCGGTGTATTATGAGCTTTGTACCACTGGATTGGCCCTCATGCTGGAAGAGCGTGCTGCAGGGAAACAGAGCATCACCGTCGTACCCATAATATGAGTCGCTGCACTTGCACTGAGAGTGAACAGGTCGATGCCACCAATTTGATCAAAAAGAGACACAAGAATGGCATGAAAAGAAACAAAGCCAAGATAAAAAATATCAGAGGCCTCCTCATAATCACTCTGTAATATATCCCAAAAGTACTGCTTTGAGATTATCCACAGATTAGGCAGTCCACTATTCTGTCATTCAGTGAGCTGTTTTTTACCAAATTTAACCTGATTCCAAACTAGGGTGTTACAATAGTGGAAATTTACACTCAATACTGATAGAAAGGAATGTATTTGATTCTATTTTGAAAAACCACAGGGGACAAATGACAAAAACATAAGGTATTGCAAAAAAAAAAAAGATAACATCAGTGACAACACTTTTTAAGCTGTCTGGCGCAGTGCAAAAAAATGCTGTAACTGTAAGGTATCTTATTCTTTCGGCTGCTCTCTTTATGTGTCATCACAATTGATCATCTGCCTCCATCTCACAGTCACACTAACCCTCTGCATGAACCTCCGCTCAGGTTTTCTCATTTTTCTCCTGCCTGGCACCTTGATATTCAACATCCTTTTTCCACCATCTTTGCACCATCCCTCCTCTGTACACGTCCAAATCATCTCACTCGTTCCTCTTTAACTCCCACTTGAGCTGAGCTGTCCCTCTGATATATTCACTTCTAATCTTGTTCATCCTGGTCACTCTCAGCGAAACTCCTAGCATCTTCAGCTTGGCCTCCATCTCCAAACTATACATCACAGCAGGTGTCTCTATCACCTTGCAACCCTTCCTTTTCATTCTTGCTTCTATCCTTCTGTCACAAATCACCCCTGACACTCAACTCCACCCACTCCACCCTGCTAGCACTCTCTTCTTCATGTCTCTTGCTTTTGATGTTTGACCCCGGGTATTGAAGCTCATCAACCTTTTCTTCCTCTACTACTGGCAGCTCAAACAGCTAACAGATCATCTGCAGAGGAATGGCTTATTTGAAGAGTTTCAGTCAGGTTTCAGAGCTCATCACAGCACAGAAACAGCTTTAGTGAAGGTTACAAATTATCTTCTTATGGCCTCTGACAGTAGACTCATCTCTGTGCTTGTCCTGCTAGAGCACGCTG